GGATCTAGAGCTTTAGTCATCTTACAGTGTTTAGTCAGCTTCAAACTGTGCTACTGTAGATGTACTTAAGAGATTAGACAACATATTGCATAATTCATCTTTTTTACTTTTCTGCTCAAAATAACAAATTGGAAAACATTGAAATTTAGTGCTTTGGTTGGATAGCTATATTCTGAGAACGCCACACCTCTAATCCCCTCACCTAAACTGTTGAACCTTGAGTGCTTCATTTTTTAATGAATACTCTTAATAACATTAGCGACATTATATCGGTATTATCTGAACGTATAACAACATCTAGTTCTCTATTCATATTTAGAATAATAATTGGCAGCTTATTTCACAACAACCTTACTTTTATGCAACCTTTTGTTTTTACTTTAATGTGGTTCAGCTTTAATTAATATTAGCTACTCAGCTAAAGTTAGCTGCTAAGCTACTTTTAGCTACTCTATCAGTTGTGCAAGCTAATAGTATGTGGTTTGAGTTAATAACTACATGAGACACAGCTCTAAATATACCTTAAGGAAAAATATAAAGGTTTTACTTACCATGCAGTTCTACAGCAGTAGTTAGAATGTGGATTTAATTCAGTGGACTGCTTTGTATTTATCCATAGATAAAGACAAAGAAGAAGTGGGGTGCCACCTGCTAACTTTAGCCACTTTTTGCCTCCTTTTTGCCTTCCCTAATAGATCCATGCTTGCATAAACCAGTTGATTTTAAATACATATTTGAAATCTAATATTTGAGTGCCCACTGCGGGTTAGGGACAAGACCCTGCCACAAGTGGAGGAGTTTAAGTATCTCGGGGTCTTGTTCACGAGTGATGGGAGAAGGGAGCGGGCGATCGACAGATGGATTGGTGCAGCGGCTGCAGTGATGCGGGCGCTGTTGTGGTGAAGAGAGAGCTGAGCTTAAAAGTGAAGCTCTCAATTTACCGGTCGATCTACACCCCTACCCTCACCTATGGTCACGAACTGTGGGTAGTGACCGAAAGAACGAGATCACGAATACAAGCGGCACACCACCTACAGATGGCCCACATACCGCAATGAATAACGGCCCTTTGGTGGCCCAGATCAGGTTTGCCAGAGGTAATCCACACATGGGCCAGCACAGGACGACCAGAGTGTCTGAAACTGGCCTTGTGCTGGCCCATGTGTGGACCACCTCTGGCAAACCAGGTCTGGGCCACCAAAGGGCCATCATTCTTTGCGGTATGTGGGCCATGTGTAAGCACATTGTGTGGGCCTGATCCCTGCAATACCAATATTGCTGTGTGGGTGTCAGTGTGTGTGGTCATGTATTACTTATTGTTGTAGGGTCTCGCCTACTTTATGGGGACAAATTGCAAGATAAATCATTCAATTTTAGGGTGAAGGCTTGAGTCAGGGAAATTAATGTAAGTAATTTAATGTCCCCAAAAGTGATGGAAACACAACGTGTGTGTGTGTGTGTGTGTGCGCGCGCGAGTGCGTGAGTGCATGGGGTTAGGGTCAAATGTTGGATGTATTTTGATGTTTTATTGTTTTGTGAAATGTTTACATCGTTTATTTATTTGTTCATCCTTGTTGTACGAATACAACTTATTATAGAATAACATGGCATTTTACTACCCTTGTTGCACAGTGTTGCCTTGAAGCAACAAACCAATATCTATTGGGGGGGGGTCAAATTTTATGATTGATATATTATTAGCAGTGTTGGGTAAGTTACTTTAAAATAGTAACTTAGTTACATTACTAGTTACTTGGCTCAAAAGTAACTCAGTTACTTCAAGTTACTCGTTACTTTCAAAGTAACTAGTTACTAGGGAAAGTAACTTTGGTTTTACTCAGAATTCTCTTGTTAATGTGTTGCTTCCATAACTTTGCCAGTCTTCTAGCTTGCTTACTTGCCACAGTGCACTGTGCCACCTACCAATAGAAAGGAAAAGATAATGTGCATATTTCCACGAGAGAAATCCCACGCCTGGACCGTCATTGACTGCTGCCATGATTCTAGCCTACGTCACAGCGTCATGTGCGCCTTTTACATCCAACACAAAAACTGCAGTCGTGGTGCTTTCGATTGTACTCAGAACTCGGAAATTCTGCCTTCTGAATAGGAAGATGTAGGTAACACCAGACTGCAGATGAGCTGCATACAGGGCTGGACTGGGACAGAAAATTGGCCCGGACATTTTGACTAGAGACCGGCCACCATTATAGGAAAAATCATAAAGCCTTTGAATGAAAATAAACACTGTTGTGACAGTGATGTACACTGTTCTGATGGTATATATGCATCAATCTATCAATCGTTTGTTGTAAGATTCAGATAATTATTTTTTAAAAGCTAGACATTTTAAATGAGAATAAGAAAGAAAAGTATTTCTTTGTGCCCCCCTTCCCTGTTAATGCCCTACATGGCCCCCCTGGCAACACTTTGCTAGACCCGCCCCTGCACAGTTACCAGCTGTCAGCTACCTAAAAAAGGATCCTGGGTTATTTGTCTCTCAGAAACAGTTCATAACTTCCCTTCAACTCATTCATGTCACCTAAAAGGTAAACCTGTTTCTCCATCACTCAGCTCTGATGATCAGTAAGGACATCTCCTGGTTTCATCTTCATGTTTCCCTCTCACCAATACCAAACCATATCATGACCAGCAGCTTTACAGCTGTGGCTCCAGCAAACATCAGCTGATACTAGAAATTAATATTAAATAAATTCTAACAACAGCTGATCAAGCTTAAACGTGCTGCTGTTGTTTAGCGCGACATCCGCTGGTTTCCTCTTTCTGGCGCAAAGTGAGCGATAAACAAACAAGAGAGCCGATCAGCTGATCATGATCAGTTTTCATGATTGAAGTAGAAACAGGAGAGGGAGGGGGGAGAATGAAAGAAGAAGAGGCAGCTGTGCAGCAAGACACAGAATAACTCCAGCTTTGTGTCTTTTTCATTGTAGCTGAATTACGGGACAAACTGTTCCTTTTCACCTCAATAAGAAACGCGTAATATTTTCTCTGAATACCAGACGGGACGGTTGGCAACTCTAATAACTTATGAACA